CTTTACTAGTTACTTGAAAAAAAGTAATCTGATTACGTAACTCGCATTACTTGTAATGAGTTACCCCCAACACTGAAGACATCTACATAAGACCTCTTACATTTCTAGAACTAACTAACTAGCTATTGTGTATATTTCTTCTCTGCAGGTTAGATACCAACAGGCTGACAAAAGATGGCATTTCTGAAGGGTGAGATTACCTTTGTCTTCTCCCTGTGGGCTTCCCTCCTTTATGTAGCACTAATGTCCCTTCCACTGGGGGCAGAGGCACCAAAAAGAAGCCAGTACATCTGGAAAACAGGTGAGTTGCCAATATTTCCAACATTAGCTTTTTCTTGGGCGACAGAATGAAATTCATTTATGTGGCCCCTAGCTGAATTATGAGTGTTTTTCTACTGTCATTCACTCACTGTCATGTTGCAACAGTACAAACCTGTATGGCTTTCTTTCTTCTGTAGAACACAAAAGGGGCATTTTTGAAGAATATGGCCACTCTTTTTTATATGAAAGCGATTCATTGAAAAGATATGACTCAAAAGATGTGTTCAGATAATTCTCTCATAGGGAGCTAAGGCTTTATATCTAACATTTGGTCTTTTGTCAAACCAAAGCAATCATATGGCTTCAGAAGTCTTAGGAATATAGCACACAAGATACTTTTATGATGCTTTTTTTGGTCATTTTTGGATCCTGACACCCCATTCCTCATTTGCTTTCAAGAATGGCCAAGATCACCTTTCTGAGCTCTACAGAAGAAAACAAAAGTGACATCATTTTCATTTTTGCATTAATTGTTTCTTTAACAGTGCACAGGGTAAATCTTCACACAGACAAAAATGCAACGATTATTTCAAGGTTTTGAGAAATGCTAAAGACACAGCTTGTGTTTGTAAGATCCATCCACAGAATGAGCCAGAGAATTCTGACACATTTTTGCCATTTCTCTGTGGTCAGATCCAGTTGAAGAAGTCACTTATTGGGATTGCATAATCGAATGTGTGAATGACAGTGTTTGGTACAGTACAGGCAGTCGAGAAGCAAGGTAATGCACATTTCTGTTCTGCATTTGATAGAGGAGAACAGACGTGGTAAATAAAAAATGGTCCAGGTTGGATATTGATCCTTGTTGTCACAGGTCTTGGATCAGCAGGCATTGTATGTATAGCACTTCAGAAAATTGTGAGACCATCTGCCTGTGTTATCTGTGAAGTCTGATCAATCTTATATCCAGCTGGAGTTGCACGGAGAATTCCTCATGTCGCCATGTCAACAATTGTTAAGTGTGAGATTGACAGCTCGCAAAGAACAGAAGATTATTACTTGGCCTATTAATGCCGTCCGGCGCATCCAAGCTACTGTGAGCTTACATTCCAAGATGCCGCAATTAAGCACTTCTCCAAAACTTGTAACAAAACATCCAATATATGGCTGTGAAGACCTCAGGTAGGAAGTTCATATGAGGCAACTGTCATTCTCAATAAATAAATACAGAAATGAGTATCCCTCAGTTTCTCTGGCTGGATGCAGGGACCAAATTGTGGGAGGTTTAGGTGATCTGACAGCCCTTGTTCAGATTAAATTATTCCATGAGAAAAAGTATCCAGTAACAGGGAGAGGAAGTATTCAGATGGTCATGAGATCTGAACATGGAGGCCATCAAAACAGCTTTTAATAGGATATGTTTAGCATGTTCATTTTATGTAGGTGTTATCATTTTAAACATGTTTTACTATGCATTTCTTTGTGTAAAACATTTTTAAAGTAGAAAAATAACATATTAAATAGTACATTCTCACATGTAATTTAAAAATATTTTTTGAAAGAAATAAATACTTTTATTCAGCAAGGATGCATTTAATAAAAGCTTTTACTTATGTTGTGGCAGGGTTTAACCGCAGACTTTCTTGGAATATTGCAACAAATATCCTGAAGCAACCTGGTGTGTGGTTTTTTTTTTTTTTTTCCTTTCACTCTTTTTTTCATCTTAGCAGGTCACACGTTTTCATGAGTACAGTACAACAAGACTAAAGGCTCTATTGATTTTTTATTCACAAACACTATAAAACATAAAGAAACAAACAAATGTTCCTAAAAAATACAAAAAGGCTGATTTTGCAATCCATGAAAAGTCACAAATGCACGGTGGCCGAGAGAGCTCAACGCGCTGCAAAAGAAAAAACACATGCAAATAGAAAAAACCCCTGCAAATTAAGAAAACAACTTCATCAATTTGACAACACACGCGCTGCAAATAATCACAACACAAACAAATGAAGCACGCTGCAAAAACAGAAATGCGCTGCAAAGACCACCTCAGAAATGTTTAAGGTAACAGCAAATGGCTGGGACATGTTTATCAATGTTTGCTTTGAAAGGTGAGATTTTAGTTTATTTTAACATCCTGCTCATACGATTCCTTATAGCTTTTTTTTAATTATTAGCCTAAATAAGCTGACGAAATACACAATTAGGCTACTGTTACTGTGAAAGGTTATGTAAGCTGGCTAACTTACTTTTACAACTTCCCTTACAAAAATTAACCATAGCCTATGGTTTTACAATTAAAATTAATTAATTAATTAATACATTTATTATATAAAAAATTAATAAAAACAAAAAATGGTTATTATAGCCATGGTATGCACAAATTAACCATGGATATACACTAACCATAGTTTAACCATGGTATTTGTATAACTGTGGTTATACAAATGGTAATCAATACTGTAAAAAATAAATAAATAAAATAAATAAATAAAATTATTAATTTTCGTTTTGTTGGGGTCATTTTATTTTGGTCTGTATTACTTGCATGTTTGTTTATTTGTTTGTGTTGTGAGCATTTGCGGCGCATTTCTGTTTTTGCAACGCACTTTTTTATTTGGTTGTGTTGCTAGTATTTGCAGTACATGTGCTATCAAACTGATGAAGATGTTGTCTTATTTGCTGGTGCTTTTTCTATTTGCATGTGTTTTCTGAAGATCAAGTGTGTTAAGCTCTCTCAGCCACCGTATCAACTTTCTATTCATCAAAGAATCCTGAATCATGCTTTTCAAAAACATATTAAGCTGTTTTCAAAATTGAAAATAATAAGAAAGGAGTAGCAAATCAAAAATTTAAAATTCAAAAAAAGAAGTTGACAAAAGTAGAAAATTCAACTTTGACATCAAAGGAATAAATTGTATTTTTAAATATATTCAAATAGAAAACACTTATTTTAAATTGTAAAAAGTTTTCAGAATAATACTATTTTTACTGTACATAAATACATAAATGCAAACAAATGCAGCCTTGGTGAGCATAAGAGACTTCTTTCAAAAACATTTTACAAATCTTACTGACCCCAAACATTTTGTTTTAGCATGCTTATATTTCAACAGAATTAATTATTTTTAAAAAATATAAATAAATATCACAGTTTTGTTTTAAAAGATGATAACTAGTTGATCTTTAGCCACCAGCTGACAGTTTATTTTAAAAGGTTTACTCCCTTATTGTAAAATTCAAACACTGGATGGATGGATGGATGGATGGATGGATCAAAAGGTGTCCAGTGCTGATGAAGGCAACTGTAAAAATGCTTTATGGACAAAATGGTGATGATAAGGATGTAGAAGTTTCGTGTGAAGCGGTGGTCAGTTCTCGGAGACTCTGAGAGAGTTTCCTCACGTGCTGTGTGTGGATCGAAGAGCAGCTCTGCAGAGCCACGGGGGTGATGATTCCTGGAATGTAAAATCGATACTGGTTTCATCCGGAAGGAGTGGGTCCACTTTCGTACTGTCTATGAAGAAACGCTCATTTGTCCACCTACACACTTGCTTTTGTACTCAAGGTCTAATTTTCTTCACCTTTTTTTGTGCTTAATTTTGTTCAGTTTCCCTGTTCTGGAAATGAGAAAACTGTGTGCAGCCAAAAAAAGCTAATTCTGGAGTTTAAAGCACTCTGGTGGCTTGAAAACCTCATATTGAACCAGTTTCCCTGGAGTTCTTCTATTTGACGTCACAAGCTGGACAGATAATGACTCTGTCTCGCAAAACAAGAAGGTGGAAATTAACCTTCAAGAGAGAGATGAAGACGGCTAGCATAAGGTGGTCTCAAACAGGGATGGACTGGGAGTAAAAAACGGCCCTGGATTTTCTCCCAAATAGGCCCACCACAACTACAAACAGTCGCTACTATCTCACAATATTACAGCAATCCTATCGCATTTTTGGCAAATAACATCACAAAACCCATGGTGACCCTGCTGACAAAAACAAAAGAGACCATCACAGAAATTCTAATGATATCCACTACAAATACCATTACAAACATTACAAACCATCAACTTTTAACCATTAAAACCATTAAATAATGGTTTCCTGTAGTGTGTTTTGGGACATATTACATTAGGATTTAGTGGCTTTAACAAAAGCCACCAACAGAAGGTGACCAATTACCACCATTAGAGACCAACAGGCACCATTACAGTTTCCATTAAAACCAATACCAATTAAAACCATTACAGTTTCCATTAAAACCAATACAAGTCCCATAATAACCAGTAAAAACATTACAAATCATGTGATGGTTTCTATTTTTTATTTCAGCAGGGGATTGACCAGACAATGCGGAGTGATAAATAGCAGTGGACGCTCGGACTAGGGATGTCCTGGGATTTTACTATAGTGCTATAGGCTACATGCTCCATAGTGAGATTGGCGGGCAAAGGTAACCTGATGTAACTGTTCGCTTTTTTTTCCTTCTTCTTTTAGCTTCTCCCAACCACCTTTATCTTCACGTTTTTTGCTTGCCATCACGAGCCCACTCTCCTTCGTGTCAGTTTCGGTTTCTTATAAGCAGTAAGCAAAATTAGATTGCATTAGCGCCCTCTTTTGTCGGCCGTCAACGTCACTTAATGTGACACTTTTTCTTTGATGATGAACCAGTCAGGCCAACGATCGTTCTGGACTTCTCCAGAACATCCAGATGGCCAGTCCGCCACTGGTCTCAAAGCTAACAGATAAAAGCCATAAAGGCGCTTTAATGCAGGAATTACTTTCATGCATCAGCCACATTCAACCTTTTCAGCTACACTCTTCATAAATAAAATGCAACTCACAAGTGCCTTAGGATTCACTTTATACAGTGAAAGCCCTGATAACACATCACCATGATGATAGAAAATGCACAGTATATTTTGTTTTTGTTTTTTTACATGGCATGAACAGAACCAAGAATGAAATACGACTGCCTATATGATAAGACAGTGGTGACCTCTCACTCTATAAACTCTATAAACATTTTTGAGGATAGCATATG